GAGCCTGCAGCATTCCCTGCCTCCTCGCTCTGATGGGTCAGGTAGATGTCACTGGCAAGAGATATTTTCTCAGATAACCCGGACCCAAGCCATGAAGGGCTTTAAAGGTGCCAACCAGCACCCTGAATTGCACCCGGAAGCAAATTGGTAGCCAATGCAGCTCCTGCAGGAGAGGTGATACATGTGCACACCGAGGTCTGCATAAAACCATGCGGGCCGCTGCATTTTGCATGAACTGGAGCCTCCGGATGCTCTTCAAGGGCAGCCCCATGTATTGCGCGTTGCAAAAATTTTGCTGAGGGTTTGTTTGTTTTTTTACTGTTTTTCACAGTCACTGAAAAGGTAATGGGTGGAATGTCTATGGAGATTCTCAGTCATCCAGATCATGGTTGTCCCAAGGTGCTTTTTCAGGAGGCAACTGGACTTTTTTTGGTTTTCTTTGAAGACGTTTTGCTTCTCTCATCCAAGAAACTTCTGAAGCTTCTTGGATGAGAAGCGAAACATCTTCAAAGAAAAACCAGAAAGTTCAGCAGCCTCTTGAAAAAGCACCTTTGGATGGTGCTTTGTATAATAAGTTGAATCCCCTCTTCTCTGTGGCAGCCCTTCAAATATTGGAACTCTGCTATCATGTCATCCCTAGTTTTTTTCTCCAGATTGGCCATATTCAATTCTAGCAACTTTTCTTCATACGTTTTAGTCTGCAGGCCTTTAATCATCCTAGTTGCTCTTCTTTGCACTTTCTCCCCCCCCAAAGACTCAACATCTTTTTTGTAATGTGGTGACCAAAACTGGATGCAGGACTCCAGGTGTGATCTTACTAAGCTCATCAAATGCTAGAGGAATGAACACTCCATGCTGTTGTTAAAAAAGACTTTCCAGTCCTCCATGTCTCTGTTTCCAAATACAAATGAAAAAAAAAATTAAAATTCACTCCAACAGATGAGGCAGCGGGGTATATCGAATAAAGAATGACAGGGGTGAATATTTAAACTTTATTGATGTGACGTTCCATACTGCGTATGTGAATGCTGCTTCTCATCTGCTTCTCAACAATCAACCAATGGAACAGCTTCCCTCGGAAGTTGTGGGAGCGTCATCACTTGAGACTTTCAAGAAGAGATTGGACTGCCATTTGTCAGAAATGGTGTAGGGTCTCCTGCTTGGGCAGAGGTTGGACTAGATGATCTACAAGGCCCCTTCCAACTCTGTTAATCTGAGTATCTGAATCACACATTATATTCAACTCAAACTCCACAAAACAAACTTTAAGCCTTAGCATAATGTATTGCATGAATCCTGCCACAGAATTCAGCAACGCCCTAGTTTGAACATGCTCACCCCCAAAATATGTGCTAGAAATATGTGCTCTTAAATAAAGGCTGGTTTATGGCCTAGTCCCGTCCATGGACCAGTACAAGGCCAGGGCATGCCAGAAACCGGGCCCCACAAACAAGAAAAGCCCCATCCGCGGATGCAGTCTGCGGAAAAATCTCCACAGAAGAAAAGGTACCCAAAAGGTTGCAGGCTGCTGGTCTCTGACATCAGTGGGTAGAAGTGAAAATCCAGATGATAGTTGTGATGGTAGCTACACGCTGTTAACATCTGTCACAGGTGAATTCCCCTATGTATGTCCCTGTGTAGCAGATCCCATCTGCTCTCATATAAACAGAGCCCGAGCAGCCAAGTTATATGTGTGGTTGCCTGTAGCCTAGAAATAAATTACATTCAGAGACTGACTACAGGTGAAACAGATTATCTGTGGGAACAGATGTCCATTACTCTCCGTGCCCATTTAAAACAGAGCATTTAATTTCCATCGGTTGCATATACAGAAATGAAATGTTAACTTGAGGTATTTGGCTTGTTACTCAGCACACAAATGAGAAACTTGTGAGAATGTAAGTAGTCCTGGACTTACAACCATTCATTTAGTGACTGTTCAAAGTTGCAATGGCACTGAAAAAAATCTGACTTGTGACCATTTTTCACACTTATGACTTTGCAGCATCCCCATGGTTATGTGGGAGGTTAAAATTGGGAGACTTGGCACCTAGCTCCAGAGGTGGTATTCAGCAGGTTCTGACCAGTTCTGGAGAACCGGTGGCAAAATTTTGAGTAGTTTGGAGAACCACTAATGGAAATTTTGAGTAGTTCAGAATCCCACCTCTGACTGGCCCTGCCCCCGTCTATTATCTGCCTCCTGAGTCCCAGCTGATCGGCTGGGTCTTCTTTTGTTGCCCTGCACAGGAGAACAGAGCTGGAAAGCAGGTTAGTGGAGTGGGAATGGAGATTTTGCAGTATCCTTCCCCTGCCAGGCCTATCAAGCCATGCCCACCGAGCCACGCCCACAGAACTGTAGTAAATTTTTTTGAATCCTACCACTGTCTAACTCACACTGTTTTCCTGAAAATAAAACCCAACTAGAAAATAAGCTTGTAATGTAAGCCCTATCCCCAAATAAGCCCCAATTAAGATAATCAGACAGATGGACACATGTAGTTACTGTATTTCCCACAAAATAAGACCTAACCAGAAAATAAGCCCTATAATGCATCTTTTGGGGCAAAAATTAATCTGAGACCCAGTCTTATTTTCAGGGAAACACAGATGTTCATGATGGTTGCAGTACCTGGAAGTTATGTGATCAACTTTTGTGATCTTCTGACAGGAAAAATCAATGGGGAAGCAAGATTCATTTAACAATTGGGTTACTAACTTATCAATTGCAGTGATTCACTTAACAACTGAGGCAAGAAAAAGCCATAAAATCTTCCTCCTTTTATTTTCCCCACGATGACAATCAGTGTGCAGCATCAGCAATGAGAATTGTCTATCCCAGGAAGAAATGTTCCTTTTTGCACCTGGTATCTTGTGCTCAGGACTCTGCTAAAGGCGTTTGGCACAATTCACTTAACAACTTAGCAACAGAAATTTTGGGCTCAACTGTAATCGTAAATTAAGGATTACCTGTATCATCTGCATCAGTATCATTGATTGTCTTTAAGGCAAAAAGAGGTAGTCCTCGATTTATGACCACAACGGTGGCCAAAATTTCTGTTGTTAGACATTTATGGTGAGTTCTGCCCCATTTTAGGACTTTTCTTGCCACCATTGTTAAGTGAATCCTTGCAATTGATACATTAGTAGCCTGGTTGTTAAGTGAATCTGGCTTCCCCATGTCAGAAGGTCGCAAAAGGGGATTACATGACCCCGGGACACTGCAGCCGTCATAAATGAATCAGTTGCCAAGCATTTGAATATTGGTCACATGATCATGCGGATGCTGCAAAGGTTGTAACTGTGAGAAATGGTCCTAAGTCACATTTTTCAGCGCTGTTGTAACTTTGTACAGTCACTAAATGAACTGCTATAAGTTGTGGACTACCTGTCTTCAATGGAGCTCAGGATTTTGATTGTAAATCATTGTGGTCTTAAAGTCTAGGCACCACCTGATCCGACTTGATTTTACAACTGCTTTTACAGGGAATCAACTCAGTCACAAAGCAAATCACATGGTTGGTAAGTGAATCTATCTACCTTATGTCTGCCTAAATAAAATGTTCAAGGCGGGCCATAAGGAAAGGGGAAAAAATTGTGCCTTGTATCCTGAGATTACATAAGTGAGGTGCGCTAAACCTTAAGGCTTCTGTATGCCTTTGTTTATTCATTTATCTATATATTTATTTAATAGATTTATATGGCCACCCATCTCATACAGTGACTTTTATTTCTTTTTTCATTCTTCAGACTTCATAACCTTCCCCTTTTGTCAGAACTCCAACCTTAAGCAAAGCCTTGGGGAAATATATAGAATCTGATGATGGCAAATGGGATTCTGCCGAGGCGTTGCTGCAACTTTGGAAGCACAGCTGTAGTGATATATATATCACTACTTTATATATATATATGTTTTCTTAAGTTTTCGTGGGTACTTACATGTATGGTAAGATTCTGCAGAGCTCAATACCATATATATGTACCATATATATATATGTGTGTGTGTGTGTATATACACATACACACACACATACACAGTTCGGATGTATATATGTACATGGTGAGAAAAACAAATCTTGCAAATTAATGTGTGTGTGTGTGTGTGTGTGTGTGTATCTGATCCGTATCTATCCACACACACATACAGTGTTTACCAAAATATACATATGGGTACATACATACTTTTAAAATTAATTAATTTACCTTGTAGTGTAAATTTACCCTTACATAGTGCACATTGGAGGTGGTGACCCTTTAGAGAATGGTTTGCCATAAAATTTCATTTTTAATGCAGGCCGATGAGTGTACATTTAAAGTCACAATGAAGTTATTCTAGGTCCAAATCAACTCGCTCTTTCTCCCGTTTCTCAAAGGATCTCCCTGAAAGAGCTCCCGGTTCGATCGTATCCCTTCGTTCGGACGGCCTTTTTTTTTTTTTTTCTTAGCCCCGATGAGGGCTAGAAACTTTTTTGTTTTAATTTTTTTAAAGAGCCGTCTTTCGCCGGCCCCGCTTCCTAGCAGGTACCGAACCTTCGCATCCCCACATGAGGAAGATTCCCCCGCCCCCGCCCCGCCTTTCCCTTAGACGCCGAACAAGATTTCTTCGTGTTGAATCCGATCTCTCCCTTCCGCGAAGGGAAAACGCCTTCCTCGCCTTCCCACGTCGCGAGAGGCGTCCATTCTTGGACCGACGCCTGGAAGTGGGAGTGGGAGGACGGGGGCGGGAGGAGGGAGGAGGGCGGGTGTTTTGCTTTGCAACCAGCCCTGAGGGGGGAGGGGAGGGGCTTGCCGGAGCCCCTCCCCCTTTCCACCACCCCCCCGCAGCCTCCAGACAATGCGCCCCCGACCCACCAGCGCCCCCTCCCCACCTCTCCCTCCCGCGCGCGTCCAGAGGCTGCCGAGCCGAAGCCGGCGCGCGCCCTCCCCTCTCCTCCCCCCGCCCACGGTACACGAGCGGCTGCTTTAGGAAAGAGGAGGAGTGCGCGGGGAGGTGTGTGTGTGGGGGGGCGGCGGCGGCGGCTGAGCGTCTGTGGGTCGATCCCGCCCCCCGGGCCGGCCCTTCCCCGCTGCCCAAGCGTCCGTCAGGCTGCGGGGGGAGGCGGACGGACGGCGCGGGCGAAAGAGAAAGGCGCTCCGGTCCAGAGGGGAAAGAAAGATACGAGGGAGCTCCTCGCGGGGAAACACTCCCCCCTACTCCCCACCCACACCTTCCTTACTCTCCTCAGTCCTTTTCTCTGGGAGTCGCCCAGCGAGGAGGAGAAGAAGAAGCAAAAAAAAAGGAGAGGAGACGGGACTTTCCCACAGTGAATGGACTCGCCGAAGGAGCGGTAAAGAGGGGGGAGTGGCGGGGCTGGCCGGGGTTCCTGCGGGAGGGGAAGGGAGAGCAGCCGGGGAAGGACGGTGCAAAGAGTGGGAGTGGAGCCCGTGGGTGGGGCAGGGATCCCCGACTCCGCGGCTCTTCCTTTCTCCCCCCCCACCCGCCCCCCCCGCGAGCAGGTCGGCTGCCTTCCCCAGATTCCCCGGGGTGAGAGCGGGGGTGATCTTCCTGGGAAGAGATTTGGGGCGAGCCTTGTAATTTAGGCTTTAAGAGAGTGGGGTGGGGGGGTTACTTCACTTCGGGGAAGGAGGAATTTCCACAAACAGCCCTTAGTTGCTTAAATAGAGGCATAGAATCAAAACCCCGTGAAGCAGGACTACCCCTTTACAAAGCCTTACTATAAGAACCACACCTGGAATCCTGCTTCCAGTTTGGTGGGGTCACCACGTTACCAAGAAAAAATAAATAAATAAATAAAGATGTTGAGACTTTTGGGGGGTGAAAAAACACCGGAGAAGAGCAACTAGGATGAGCCTGGAGACTATCTGAAGACCGGTTGCAGGAACCGTGTGTGGCTAATCTAGAGAAAAGAAGGGCTAGGGAGTGACACGATAGCAGTCTTCCAGCATTTGAGGTGATGCCACAAAGAAGAGAGGGAGTCAACTTATTTTCCAAAGCACCAGAAAGCCAGACAAGAAGCAATGGAAGGAAACTGATCAAGGAGAGAAGCAACCTGGAATTCAGGAAAAACTTCCTAGGACAATTAACCGGTGGAACAGCTTTGCCTTCAGAAATTGCGGGCTGCTTCATCGCTGGAGGTTTTTAAGAAGAGACTGGACAAGCCACCTGTTTGAAATGGTATAGGGTCTCTCCTGCTTGAGCAGGGCAAGGGGGTTGGACTAGATGATCTACAAGGTCCCTTCCAGCTCTATTCGGATTGATTGGTTGGTTTTAAGAAAAGGGAGTGGGCTGGAGGTTACAGGTTGCCCTGAAGCTGCTTTGGGCTCTTGAAGGTCTTATTAGGTCTCCTTGCCTGAAAAGAGTGTATTTTTTTGGGGGGGGGGGGGGAAGATGGGGGATTGAGCTGAGTGGTGGGGATGGGAAAACACCAGAGGTGGTATTCAGCAGGTTCTGACCAGTTCTGGAGAACCGGTAGCAGAAATTTTGAGTAGTTCGGACAACCAGCAAATCCCACCTCTGACTGGCCCCGCCCCCATCTATTCTCTGCCTCCTGAGTCCCAGCTGATCACCTGGGTCTTCTTTTGTTGCCCTGCACAGGAGAACGGAGCTGGAAAGCAGGTTAGTGGGGTGGGGAGAGAATGGGGATTTTGCAGTATGCTTCCCCTGCTACGCCCACCAAGCCACACCCACAGAACCGGTAGTAAAAAAAAATTGAATCCCACTATTGGAAAGGGTTAGGGGGACAATGTGTGTATGTCTTTGTCATGAGGGATGCATCAGAAGGAGCCCAACAGATGTTCAGGGGTAATAATAGAATAATAGAGTTGGAAGGGACCTTGGAGGTCTTCTAGTCCAACCCCTGCTTAGGCAGGAAACCCTATACCATTTCAGACAAATGGTTGTCCAATCTCTTCTTAAAAACTTCCAGTGGTGAAGCATTTACAACTTCTGGGGGCAAGTTGTTCCACTGATTAATTGCTTTAACTGTCAGGAAATGTCTCCTAAATTTTTGGTTGCTTCTCTCCTTGGTTAGTTTCCACCCATTGCTGCTTGTCCTGCCCTCAGGGGCTTTGGAGAATACCTTGACTCCCTCTTCTTTGTGGCAGCCCTATAGGTATTGGAACACTGCTATCATGTCACCCCTAGTCCTTTCAATTAAACTGGACATGCCCAATTCACAGATTAGGGTGCTGGCTCTTTGGCCACATTTCTCTTCCACTCCTAACTAGGCCTTCTCCACCAGTGTTCTCCAGATACCTTAGATGTCAGCTGTCATTTTCCCAGCCAAGGTTGGGGGCGATAAAAATTGTGGTTCAGCATCTTTGAAGTGTGTCATCCAAGGAAGAGCTGTTCTAGCAGTTGGCCATCCAACCCTTAATCCATGAGGACAAGCACAAAGCCGGTGTTATAATCTGGGGAAGGACTTGCTGGATTTCTTTGAGGGAGGAAGGAAGAACTTGGAGATACATTTGCTGGGCATGAGGGTGTCCCAGAATTGTGGTGGGTCTCTTGAATTTCCAACCAAGGAGAGGACAAAGGGAGGAGATAGTAGCTAATGAGAAATACAGTAAAGGAACAGTATAATTATACATATAATAACAGCTGCAACATTGGTGTATGCCCAAGTCTGGAAGAACGAAGATACCCCTACAGAAAATGAAATAATAAGGAAAATATTAGTCTGTGCAGAGATGGACAGACTAACTTTATAAATCAAAGATAAGGGTGAGACAGTAAAATGGTCTGGAGTAAAATGTATCAATGGCTAGAGTCAAGAAAAAAAGGGTTGACGCTTTATAGGAATAAAAGTTAAAGTTTTGTAAACCAAAGATAATGGAATATAATGGACAAATGCGAGATGATACGAATGTATAAAAGATGGTTGTAAATATGTATATAATTGTATATAAATGTAAATAGAAATAATATGCAGCTAGCACTATACTAATAACATAAGGGAAAAAGGAAATTAACTGTTATATGTATATACTTTAGCTTGTATGGCCAAAATGATGGTCAAGAAAGTCACGCTGTGTTCAATTGTTTTTAATGTTTATTCAATAAAATTATTTTTTTAAAAAAAGGGAGGAGATGTAGCTGAGATGGGCAACAGATTGTGGTTAATCCCTAAAGAAGTTAGCAAAGTGGAACAAATCATGGCTATGTCCAGGTAAAAAGAGTAAACATACTTGATGAGAAGGTCCAAAGTTAGCTTGATGGCTAAGGAGTGTTTAAGAGGCTTAATGCTCTGCAGAGGGACCCAGATTTAATCTCCATCTTCATCTGCAAGAAAAGTTAGTGTCCAGATTCACACGTCTTCTGCCAAGACGAAGCTGGACAAACCATTGTAAAAGGGTGAAGCTTGCCTTGTATAATGGTGATTGTAGTTTCCAGTGTTTCTTTTCTTGGCTGCAAGGATGAACTTTTTCACTTCAAGGGTGTATCCTGTCATCTTCGCTACAGAGGCTGCTTTCTGGAGCGGAACGCATTAAGGCAGTCTGTTCTTGATTATAGTATGTGCTTCATCTTTTGTTTCTGTGCTATTTACTGGAGTAGCGGGATGGTATGAAGTTGATTTTAATTTCCCATGCATTTGGTACTGTGATGGGGTTTCTATAATGTAAGCCACATCCTTCTTACAGAAGGGTTTTTGGACGGTGGTAGTGGGGCATCTGGTTTAATGGTAATAGAGAGGCCTTTGAAATTTCACTAGTAGTCTGTTGTGGGGTTTAGTTTTAGGGAATTAATATTGCTGCCGTTGTTATTTAGGCATGATTGCATTAGTTGCTTCGGTGTTCAGAGTTGGAAGAAAAAGTGGGAGGCAAATATTAAGATGAACCTGAACTGCTCTGTGCAAAACTGAATTGTCACTGAGAGAACTACTCAGGGTCCCGTCCCGTCCCCCAAACCTGGTGCTAATCTAGTAGCATCCAACTGTAACTCTGACCACTTGAGTCAGCATGTTGGTAATCCTATTGTCTGGAGATAAAAGAGGTCATGGACGGATCCAGATTTTAGCCCCAACTCAGCATAGAAACTCACTGGATGGGGCTTTGAAGGGATCTCTCTCAGTTCACTGTATCTCGTACATTCATAATGTGGGGTGGGAAAACCCACAAAGAAGATGAAGAATAAATACGCCATAAATCAGTGCCTTGGTTTGGGGTTCAGTGGAACCTTTGAAGTTGGCCTCTACAATGAAGTCTTGATTGTTAAATTAAAATGCCAAAGTAGATGCATCTTTTATATGCAAAAATATGTTATATTTTGTCTTGGATGCAATTCCTCCCTCCCTCCTTTCTCTTTCATTCTTTTTCTTTCTCTCTTTCTTTCTTTCTCTGTTTCTCATTCTTCCTTTTCTTTCTTTCTTTCCCTTTCTTTCTTTCTTTCTTTCTTTCTTTCTTTCTTTCTTTCTTTCCCTCCCTTTCTCCCTCCCTCTTCCTTTTCCTTCCTCTCTCCCTCCTTCCCTCTTTTCTCTTTCTTTCTTTCTTTCTTTCTTTCTTTCTTTCTTTCTTTCTTTCTTTCTTTCTCTTCTTTCCTTTTCTTTCTTTCTTTTCCTCTTTCTTTCTTTCTTTCTTTCTTTCTTTCTTTCTTTCTCTTTCTCTCCCCTTTTCTCTCTCTCTCCTTCCTTCCTTCCTTCCTTCCTTCCTTCCTTCCTTCCTTCCTTCCTTCCTTCCTTCCTTCCTTCCTTCCTCCTTAAACATGCAAACATCCAAAGTTTATGATTTTTGATCCCACACGCCCAATTGGCTTCCTTTTCCATGACCAGACCAGACCAAAAGGAAGGAAAGAATTCCCCGGTTTTTTTCTCTGCAGAGAGGAAGAAAATTTGCTGTGGATTGAAAACAATATGGAAAAGTAACTGGTCCAGAGAAGAATAGGGGTGGGGAGGGAGCTTCTGCAGTACAAGAAAGAAACAATATATATTTCTTTCCTTGACAAGGTTTGTGTTTTGCCTAGAGGACTTTTCCTCATTTCAGCTCTGTAGCCGTTTGCTCCTCTTGATTGCATCTGTGTTTTACGATTCCTGTTGGGGTAAGTAAATGTTCATTTGTATGTCCAGCGTGGCTGGCCTGGAGTCACCTCATGGTTGATTAGCAAAACTGCTTCTTGATAAACTTACCTGACTGTTCGCATTTGGTGATAAAGAGTCCAATTGTAACATCAGCAGTAAATAATGCCAACCCGCCTAGTGGTATCTCTGGAGCATGAAGGTTAAATGGGTGATTTACATGGGAAGTGAGAGTGTGCCCTGAGCTCTTTCCCACTCAAAGTGGTTTGGATTAAAAGAGGCTTATGGGTAGGACAAAGCTCATATGCTCTTGCTGGGTCACTGACTTGCCTTCTTATGTTCCTTATCAACAGAGAGAAGACTAAGAGTCTGTCTACCAGCAAGTCCTTTGGGCTTGCAGTTCACTTTCTTCTGTGCCCGAGATGGGAAAACGATGGCGCTCCTTTATGACCTTGCGGACTTCAACGCCCAGAATTCCTGAGCCAGCTTGGTTGGCTCAGGAATTCTGGGAGTTGAAGTCCGAAAGTCATAAAAGGGCCATCGTTCCCCATCCCTGTTTTTTACGCCTGTGTGAGAAATTTGAAGAAGAGGGTTTAAGGGTTGAGCTTTCCAATAGCGTTAGTATTGAGAAGTGAGCTCCAGTGGTTATCCATAAATGGCAGGAAGGATGTGCCACTTGACAAACTGGAATATAGCAATAGCATTTAGACTTATGTACCGCTTCACAGTGCTTTATATCCCTCCTTAAGTAGTTTTTACAGAGTCAGCCTATTGTCCCCAACAATCTGGCTCCTCATTTTATCGACCTCGGAAGGATAGAAGGCTGAGTCAACCTTGAGCCTGGTGAGATTCGATTTGCCAAATTGCAGGCGGCCAGCAGTCAGCAGAAGTAGCCTGCAGTACTGCGCTCTAACCACGGTGCCACCACAGCTCTTATATCTGGGAGAAGGTGGTGAAGGCGGAGAAGGGCCTAGAAACCAAGAAGAAGTTTCTGTATTAGGGTATGTTTAGCTTTAAGAAAACACAGCACCAACAAACAAGTATCTGATATTACATATCTTGCTGGGTTTGAACTGGGAATCTTTATCTGGGTTATTTGGAGATGCTGGGCATTAACCGGGAACATTCTGCATATAAAAAAAGGTATTCTGTCACTCAGTTATGGCCCAGACCCCTCCAGATTATAGCAATAGCACTGAGATTTATATACCATTTCATAGTACTTTCCAGCCTTCTCTAAGCGGTTTACATATTGCCTCCAACAATCTGGGTCCTCATTTTACCAACCTCGGCAGGATGGAAGGCTGAGACAACCTTCAGCTGGTCAGGATCAAACTGCTGACAGTGAGCAGTGTTATTCTGCAACACTGCATTCTAACCGCTGCACTACCACAGCTCAATGTTACCTTACAGTATTGTGTTAAAAGTATAGTATTATTTATTTGGCCTAAAATAATGTAGGGAACTAGTCACTAAGAAGTAAGCCATGGTTCAGGGCAAGGGTCTTCAAACTTGGCAAGTTTCAGACTTGTGGACTTCAACTCCCAGAATTCCTGAACTAACATGCCTGGAGGAAGAATTCTGGGAGTTGAAGTCAACAAATCTTAAAGCTGTCAAGTTTGAAGACCCCCTGGTTTAGGCCATAGCATTAGGTGTGAACCAGGAAACTGGCTTGCTCATCAAACCATAAATTAAGTAACCAATCACAGCTTAAGGAAACATATTAACCTACATGTGTGACACTGAAACAATGAATGGGACAATCACAGTGGTTACCCAGATAACTGGGAAGAGTTTATTTGGCACCAGGAAGGTTTTTGTAGGCTTTGGCAAAATAAATCAGTAAATATGTATAAATATGCTAGTTAATAAAGAGTGGTTCCCAAATGTGATTTTGGAAACAGAATTGTATCTCTGTCCAAATCTATCCTATGAGTCCCCTACTATCAAGAATGGCAGAGTATTTTGAACAATGCAGATTCAGAGAAGCCCCTAAGCAGGAGACTTAAAATCTATGTTACACTGGGGTTAAATGTAAATTAGAAGCACAAGGGTTGAAAATCCTTGATTTTAAATATTTTGCACTTTGGAGGAGAGGAGGGGGCTGTGTTTTCCCAAAAGGAGATAGGGAAGAAGTGACCAAGAAGTGTATTCATTTCATATCTCAACAAATGCCCTGGAAGTAAGAAGCATTTCTGCTAAACGGAGAATCAGTGGAAGGGAGTCTTGAAAGGAAGAGTGTTTAAGGATCTCCTAAATTTTAGAGTTGCAAAGACAATGGGGCCACCGTGGAGAAAACCCTGCAAAGCCCATATCTTCTTTTAACGATCCCACAATCCCTTGCGGGATGGAGTCTGGGCAACTGAGTGGAGATAGCAGAGTGTTTTAATGGCCGGATGCCCTTCCTGTCTCCAGTGTGGAGTTTTGTTCAGCAGATATGTTCTAAGTGTGCTGAGAGAGAGAGAAATACCTACCTCTCCCTAGGCTCGAACTCACAGCCTCCTGATTGTGAGGCGAGAGCTCCTTCTCTAGGCCACCGAACCGCTCCAAAGTCCATAATAATGATACCATCTTAATTGCTGGCACTGGTGAGGGAGCCTTAAAGTTGATTTCTAATCCGCAGACAAGCATGGAAGGCAATTCTTGCCACAGGGGGTGTTTTTCTGTTCCCGTGTTGTGTATAAAACTTGGAATCCCACAAAGGAGAGAAAAGTCAGGGCTGAGCAGACCTGAGTCTAATATTCTCCCGGCATCAAGATGACTCAACTTAAAAATCCTGACCAGGGATCTTATTCTTGCCATTAGGGGGTTAAACCTCGAACCTGGGTCATCTGCGTATCCAACCTAGAAGTAAGGAGACCTTTTCTGACAGTGAGAACAATTGATGGAATAGCTTATCTCCTGGAGTTGTGGGTAACTCCATCCCTGGAGGTTTTCAAAAATAGGCCGGACAACCATGTCACTGGGGTGGTATAAGGCAGGGGTCCCAAAACTTGGCCACTTTAAGACTTGTGGACTTCGACTTCCAGAATTCCCCATTCAACCATGCCTGCTGGGTCCTCCACCCCCTCCTACTCCCTAGACTGGAGAGATTGCAGAGGAAGGGGTTACAAGAGAGTAAGCGGGCATACAGTTGAAGTCTAGCGAAGCTGGCTGGAGAATTCTGGGAGTTGAAGTCCACAAGTCTTAAAGTCGCCAAGTTTGGAGACCTCCGGTATAAGGTTCTCCAGCCTTTAGCAGGTGGTTGAACTAGAAGGTTAGAAGATTCAGATTCCTTTTCAGCTCCATGATTCTGTGTTCTATGAGTTATGGCTTCTTTCCCCAATCTTGGCTGAATTGATAACAGCTGGATGAACTCAGTGGGAGGAAGTTTCTCCTTCACCTTCTGCCTCCTTTATAAACCACAAGAGCATTTAACATTCTCGGCACTTGCCTCCCATTCTCTTGTCACAGACTTTTTTCCTAAATGAGATTCTCTGAGAGATATGTAGACATATCTGAGCAGTCTCTTGTTCCCAGACACCCATATTTTTTTCTTATATTCTACAGAGGCTGTCGTGGACGGGTAGTTCGAGTTTGCTCGTCTCATGGTCTTCCTTTTTCTTTCCTTCTGGGTTTTCTCCATTTCCCTCCCTACAATAAACTTTGAAAGAGAAATACACATCACATTTTTTCCTGCTTTAGTACATCCTGGCTGCTCCCTTTTAGCCAGAGTTCTTTCTGCTCCATGAGGCCCAGCTTCCTTTTCTAAACAGTCCAGATGTACAGTAACCACCCATAGTGACCCCTGCTGACCTCCGTTGGTGTCTTCCATAGTTCAGCTTGCGGGAAGAAAATGTGCGTGCGTGAAAGTGTGGGTGTTGTGCAGGCCTGTGGAGAAGTCAAGATTCCTGGGCTGAAAGGTTTTTTGCCTTTGCAATGAATCGGTTCTTTTGCCAAGACAGCCGAGTTGCAAAGCAAGCTCTTTTTGTGACTATTATGTCTGGAAGGGGCTCACGGGACTGAGATAAGGGCCATTAGCCTTAGGAGGCTGCTTCCTCCTCTAATCTACATTAACTGAAAACATACTTCTTTAAAAAGAAAAACCTATCTGTATATCAATGAATTTTTTTCCCCTAACTTTAAGACTTATGTGGCTGCAGGCATTTTTTTTTTCTTTTTGGTTTTATTTCACTGCTAAGCTTGTCACTCCTGATTTATTTCTTTATGTCAATTTGTACGGCTTCCCCCATTGCAATAGGGACTCTGGGCGGCTGCTACAGGGTTAAAAACTCAAGTGCCATGAAACAACTACTAAGCATAGGTCTCAGGGTAGCTAAGTCAGCGGAGGTCTCCTAAATAATGTATCCATCTTGCAGGCCCCATTAGCATCCTGTGACTCCCCAAATTTGGGGAAACAGCCACACTTTGAAGACTTTATGAAAAGCCAGCAAGGTTGAAGCCAACCAGGTTCCAGGGGCATATGAATTAGAATTAGAATTCTTTTTTATTGGCCAACTGTGATTGGACGCACAAGAAATTTGTCTTGGCAGAAATGCTCTCAGTATACATAAAAGAAAAGATACATTCGTCAATGGCATTCCAGAGAGCAGGCATCTACACCATGGGTGTCAAACTCACAGCCCACGGGCCGGATGCATCACATGCCCAGTTTAGTGAAGGGGGAAAAGGTACCGATATGTCACGTGACGCTGCCATGACGCCACAAGTTTGACACCCCTGATCTACAGAAAGGTCCTAATCAGATGACATTCCCTGATGAATGTGCCTCTTTGATTGGATCTAATGCTTCTGCAGTGCCCACCATCAGGGATTGTAATGGGCTGTGAGAATAACCTTGGGAGACAGGAGGAACAGCAATCACACTTGGCCAATAAAGCTATGCTATGCTATGCTATGCTACGCTACCCTACCCTACCCTACCCTACCCTACCCTACCCTACCCTACAATTCCCAGAATTCCCCAACCAGCATGAATTCTGAGAATTGAAGTCCACACGTCTTAAAGTTGCCAAGGTTGATCTAATGGGATGAGTGGAAACGGAACGAGGGTGATCCCACAAATAACCTGGCTCGATGTCGTGAATGGCTTTAAAGGTGGCAAATAGCAGGTTGTATTGCACCCAAAAGCATAATGGAGGTCAAATGAAGTTTGCACTTTTTCAGTCTTTAGTTGAAAAAAAAAGAAAAGATTGCTTCCAATACTAAGACTCCAACGCAATGCTTCCCCTGGCCCAGAAGCGAGCATGAAGCAATCACATCTTTTCAGCAATGCTACTCATCTCTTGGGCCTTCTGGAGCTGCTGTTTAACTCTACCCCGGTGCCCTAGACATGGCTGACTCAGGAATTCTGGGAGTTGAAGTCCACAGGTTGTAAAGTGGTCAGAGTTGCCCACACCTCTGCTGTATCATGAATTGTTCAAATGGGCTGCATTTGTACAACAGGTTAATCCACCAAATACTGAACCAGGTTTGCCTGTGTCCACAGGGTCACGGTGACCAAGTAATACAAATTTGCACTACTTGGGTGACCCTGAGGACCTAGACAAACCTCCAAGTGGCCTCAGTGACTCTCTAAAAAGAATGCAAATGACCAGCTGTCTGCAAGGAATATAAATCCTTACATTCCCGCACCATTGTTACAAGCTAATCCCTAGCTTGTTTCTTAAGTTCAATTTAACAGTTCTTGTTTTTTTTTTTCAATAGGAATTTTCTAGTGGAGTCCTTGGCGCTCTCTGAGCTTGGTTGTTTGCTTGCATTAAGGATTACACAGTTCAACCCTGAGCGATACGTATTTTCTTCTGCCCTTCTCTTTGATCCATTACTTGATCGGTTTCCAGGTAGTCCTTGACCTACGACCGATCACTTAATGATTGTTCAAAGTTACAATGGATCCCCCCCAATTATGAACTGGTTCCAAAGTTCTGACTGCATTTCAGATGCTCAGAAACTGTTCTGACCCAACTGGGTTCCCAGAGAGCAAACACAGACAAAGGCAGTAGCCCTCACCTTTTAAGGTTTAATCACAATTCTGTTCCTTTACAAATAAAAGGCTGCTTTCCAACAATTAGCTCTGACAAGAAAGAGCCCTGCCAAGTTGTTTGTCAAGGTTGCCCCAAACCCAAAGATAAGAACTAATTTACAAGATTCTCCAAACAAGAAATAAGATGTCCAGAGTTTCAGAGCTTCTTTGCTGTCTGCAAAGAATGCTTTTCCAAACCTGGCTTTTATCCTCTTGAGGGAGGGGCCTTTACCTTACAGCCTTACTCCCGAGTCGCCTATGCTGCTGTAATTGTTCTTTCCTCTGAGCAATCCTTCATGCAAGTGCACTTGGCACAGGCTCCTTGGGAACCTCCTCATCACTGCTGCCAGCCCCCACAATCTCTGAAGGCAGCAGTTCACTCCCTGATGGTCCTGGCCCCTCATCTGAGTCCTCGCTCTCCTCAACCATCTGCACCTGCTGCCGGCTAACCACAACAGAAACCAGACCACATTTAAGACAGCTTGCACAACCTGTGGTCACATGACCATGGTTTATGATGTTGACCATGACTGATTTATTATGTTTTTGCAGAAAATTGATATTTATCACCATCATTTAACAACCCTTGCGGGTGGAAAACTGGGCAACTGAATGGAGCTAGCAGAGTGTTTAATGGCCAGATGCCCTTCCTGTCACCAATGTGGAGTTTTGTTCAGCAGATATATTCTCATTGTGCCCAGAGAGAGAAATATCTGCCTCTACTTAGGATCGAACTCACAAGTTGATGTTTATGACCACTAAAAATAGTTTGCAAGATTAGTTCAGCCACGTGATGACCCACTTACCATGTGTCCATAGGACTAGACGTCATTACAGTCATAACTGAGGACTGCCTGAACTAGATAGTGAAGGAGGCATGCTTATAGCATTACAGTGAAAATTTCTTGCTGAAAATGGGTGCAACTACCTTGGAATGAATTTGATTTCTTTGTACAGAGCCCCTCCACCGGGATCAGCATGTAAACATGGAATTTCTGCTCTGCACTATAAAGCAGAGTTCCTGCTGAACACAAACATGCAAAGATTCAACTGCGTGTTGCACAGTGGTGGGATTCAAAAATTTTTTACTACTAGTTCTGTGGGCGTAGCTTGGTGGGTGAGGCGTGGGTTGGTGGGTGTGGCAGGGGATGGGTACTGTAAAATCTCCATCCCCTCTCCACTCCTGGGAGAAGGATATTGTAAAATCCCCATTCCCTTCTCACTCCACTAACCTGCTTTCCAGCTCCATTCTCCTGTGCAGGGCAACAAAAGAAGACCCAGCCAATCAGCTGGGACTCAGGAGGCAGAGAATAGATGGGGGCAGGGCCAGTCAGAGGTGGGATTTGCCAGTTCTCTGAACCACTCAAAATTTCCGCTACTGATTCTCCAGAACTGTTCAGAACCTGCTGAATGCCACCACCTCTGGATTGGTCCCTGAGTGCCCAAAAATTGGCGGCCGCTGCTATAACAGGACCATGGCTTTCTCAGCATTTTTATCTCTGCCTCTGAAATAGACGGTTCCATCTTCCCGCCAAAGGAGCTGTGTGAACACACCAACTATGGTTTATTAAGCCAGGCTTAGTGAAAATCCTGCCGATTATAGTCTATTTTGCTCACAAAGATTATGCCAACCATGGCTTGCTGCAGTGATGCACAGGGAGGATTTTAGGTCCCAATGAATAATAATAAAAAAAAAGCCGAGGCTGTTGCTTCACTGGAAATAGTAAAAAAAACACCAAACCTTTATTTTAACTAGGTGTTAATCATTCAATTAATCTCGCTGCATAAAGTTCAGATGGATAAAGCATCCATCGTTCTTTTGAAAGAAGCAAGTCTTGTCACTTAAAAAAATGGGCATGCCTGCTCGCTTCTTTCTACAACGATTTAGAAACGGACGTGCTTCTAGTTATTTTATTTTTACAGGGACAGCAAAAAAAAAAAAAAAAATCAAGGTGCCTCTTTTGAATAGGTCTCTTTTAAATGGGTAAAAAGCTGTTGTTGTTTTTTAAACCTGGAATGATTGTCTGAATTTGACTCATGACCAGCTTTGTAAAAGCATTTTGCAAGTGCAGCACTCTCTAAGTGAAACGCTGCTGCGTTTGAGGGAAAATTTTCACAGCTTTCCCTCATTTGGGGGTGGGGTGGGGTGAGGGGGAGAGCTGTCTGACCGCAGACGCCACGCCTCGTAGGAACCACCACATATTTTGCCTGCTAACAAAGCATTCTGGTCTCTGAGGGGTTGAACAAAAGAGAGCTTGTCCTACTGAAGGCTGAGAAACGGTTCCTTCTTGCAGTTCTCAGTTAGCATTAATACTGGCAAAGACTTATTTATTTTTCCGTTGTTGACCTAACCCTAACACAGCAAATTGGAGAATTTATGGCTGATCCTTGTCCTTTTGCTTGGCCAAATATGCCGTGGGTGTCAAATATGCTGGTGCTTTGGAATGTTAGGCCAGCAACAAGGCCTTTCTTCACTGAGCAATTACGCTAGAAACGGAGAGGCCCTGAGTTCTAATCCCTCCTTTGACACAAAGACAGTGGGGCAGAGATGTCAAACTCACTTCGTCGTCATGTGACATGTCACGACTCCCCCTCTTTGTTAAACCGGGGTTGGGCGTAGCCAGCACAACACATCTGGCCCGTGGGCCATGAGTTTGACCAGTGGTGGGATTCAAATTTTTTTACTATCGGTTCTGTGGCTTAGTGGGCATGGCTTGGCTTGGTGGGCATGGCAGGGGAAGGATACTGCAAAATCCCCATTCTTTCCCCACCCCACTAACCTGCTTTCCAGCTCCGTTCTCCTGTGCAGGGCAACCAAACAAGGCCCAACCAATCAGCTGGGACTCAATGGGAGGCAGAGAACAGATGGGAGCGGGGCCAGTCAGAGGTGGGATTTGCTGGTTGTCCGAACTACGCAAAATTTCCGCTACCGGTTCTCCAGAACTAGTCAGAGCCTGCTGAATGTCACCTCTGAGTTTGACACTCCTGCAGTAGGATGAACCTTGGGCCAGCCACTTTCACTCAGCCCCTGGAAGGAGGCAATGGCAAACAAACTTCTGAAAAACTTTGCCAAGAAAACCTGTCCAGGTAGCCTCCGAGAATCGGACAGCATTGAACGGAAGAAAAAAACAAGCCTGAGGTAAAAAGTCAATGGAGATTCTCAGTCATCCAGGCCATGGTTGTCCCAAAGGTGCTTTTTCAGGAGGCCACTGGACTTCCTTTGTTTTTCCTTGAAGATATTTCGCTTTTTATCCAAGAAGCTTCTTCAGCTCTGACTGATTGGTGGGGAACGGAAGAATAGTGCTATTCACTACCATCCAGTCAAGGCTGAAGAAGCTTCTTGGATGAGAAGCGAAACGTCTTCAAAGAGAAAAACAAGGAAGTCCAGTTGCCTCTTGAAAAAGCACCCTTGGGACAAGCTGAGGTACAGCAATTTGCATACAGGTATTTCTTGATTTACAACCACAATTGAGCCTAAAGGTTCTGTTGCTAAGTGAGTTTTACCCCATTTTATGACCTTTCTTGCCAGTGTTGTTAAGTGAATCACTGCAGTTGTTAAGTCAGTAACACAGTCGTTAAATGAATCTGGCTTCCCCACTGACTTTGCTTGTCATAGTAATGACATGACCCCTGGGACACTGCAACTCTCCTAAATATGAGCCAGTTGGTCAAGTGTCCATGGGGATGATTTTTTTTTCAGTCTGTAGTTACTTCAGACTTGGAAATTTGATCGTCTGTTGCCTTTCACACACGGAAAGTAAAGTTGAAGGAGAAATTCCCAGCAGTTGTGACTTCAACTCGTCTTCCACGAGATGGTCCAAAATAGTGCTTTTTCAAGAGGCAACTGGACTTTCTGGTTTTTCTTTGAAGACGTTTTGCTTCTCATCCAAGAAGCTTCTTCAACTCTGGTAGTCAGAAATGAAGAAGCTTCTTGGATGAGAAGTGAAACTTCTTCAAAGAAAAAAACAGAAAGTCCAGTTGCCTCTTGAAAAAGCACTTTTGGGGACAACCGTGACTTGGATGACGGAGAATCTCCATAGACATTTAGCAAAAATTCCACAAGGTACTTTCACGCTACCACCATTTCCACCTCAAATGAATCCGATTCTGGTAAGAAAGTGTACCTGACATTCATTGATCAAAGCTGTTTTGACTTGTTTTTAGATATGGTATTTCCAAGCAAGGTTGAAATTCTCTGAAGTTTATTTGCTATATAGACCGCTTGGAACTGTCTGTTCCAGGGTGCTTGTTTTGGTCACACATCTTCCCTCTGCCCTCCTCACTCCTTATTTCAATGACGGCAAATGGAAATTCTCTGGCTGTGGAAGGATTTGAGGGTTGAGGGCTCACCTCTTGCCCCCTTCCTTACAGGCTGGCTTTTGTGTTTTACTCCTAGCTCATAGTTTTCCAAGAACAAAGAATTGAATCAAGAGTTGGCTAAATAAAAGAAAAGAGGAGGAACATGTAAGCTAGAAACTATGCTTTTAGGGCTGCATGCTAATGAAATTGCAAGGAGAAAGTTAAAAACAACAACAACAGGTTCTGCATCAGATGAATTTCTGATTGGACAATGTTGAGAAGTGCTAATATTGAAGACAATCTGTCCTTTTTTTTTTGTATTCGAGCAAAATAGAACAAGGAGATTTTAATCCAGCTAAATTCAAGGCTCCAATCTATCACTGCAATAGGCCCTTTCGTTCCCTATCTTGTTTAAAAATTAATTTTCATTAACTTTCAGACAGCTCGGGAATATAGGGATTAAAAGAGTATGTTCGTTAATTGGACGGTTGACACAGAGAAGCAATTAACTTAATCCATTGATTAACTCAGGGAAACCGGGAAGGAATTAGCCAACTTGAATTGTATCTTCAGTGGATGAACTTGCCGGAGAAAATTAGTGAGCAGAAAGTGCTCTCAGGAATAAGAAATTCATTCAAAAATATGGGTGAACATGAAGTAAACTGGGCAATTCTTTTTTGCCCAGTGTTCAGATGAATTTCCTTTGGTTCGAGAGGCTGGAGAGAATGTATAATTGCAGGATTATACGGGTGGGATTTGTGTAAATGCGAGCGTGTAATTAAACTGTAGCTACCCCTTCCCATTTCTTGAAATATTTACAATATGGCCTTGATTTATGCTGAAATGGCTGTAGAATCAGGATAGATATAAAATAACATGGTTGAATGGCACTTTAGGCTGTCCCGCAAATAAATGAGAATGAATGAATGAAAGAATGAATGAATGAATGAATACTACAGAAATGAACGCAACTCATCATATGGTCTTATACAAAATGAATATTTCGTGATCAGGATATTTAGAGAAGACAGCAATACAGTTGGGTTTTTTGTGGGTGGAGGGTGGAAGTGGTCTATGAATACATTACTGGGACATCTTGATTGATTGGTTGCTTGTGATCTTGTTAGTGCACTCGAGTGGGCAGTTGCCATAGAAAGCTCATCCTAGATGAGCTAATTAAGTCCTCCCCAGGTGAGGCTTTCTTTTCCTGGAGGGCTGGGGGAGGGGTTGGCTGGTTATTTGTGCTGATTCCCTGCAGCTAGGGTCACCATGATACCAAAAAGATGTTGAGACTCTAGAAAGCGTGCAAAGAACAGCAATAGAAGATTAGAGGACTGGAGACTAACATAATGAATGGTTGAAGGAACTTGGTATGTCTAGTTTAACTAAGAGAAGGATTGGGGT